CCCCCCCCCACGCTAGTCTACACCACAGCCTTGGATGGACAGGCCACCCTGGGGCCCGAGGCCGTTGCTCCCTCAGGGCCTCTCCTCCCTCCCCCAACACTCTGCCCTCGTCGCCAGGCCTCCTGGGTCCACACCCCGCCCAGTCTCTGCGGAGAACCTTCGAGATGCCAGGGCAGAGGGCAGCTGCCTGTTGACGCTCAGGCCAGCCTCCCACCTGGTGTCTCGCCCTCAGAGGTTCCTGACGGCCGGGGGTGGGTGGGGCACCTTCTATCTTGGGGAGACGGGGCCCAGAAAGGCACAGCCTCCCTGGTCAAGGCAGTGAGGACTTAGCATCCAATTTCCAGCCCGGGTTTGGACATTTACCACCAACACGGGCATAGAGGCCAGGGCGCATGAAAGCTCACCCACAGCCGGCGGAGGCCGAGGTGGGGAAGGGCTCCCGGAGGCCAGAGGCTGCCCTCCCCCAGGGACCGTCCGGGTCTGGCCTCCTCCCAGGAGTCAGGGGCTACGCAGAATAGATTGGGACTCGGAAGAGTTTCCAGGGACACCTTTACACCCCAGAGCACCTGTGCTCCTCCAAACAGGGAGAGCAAGCCAGTGCCTGCCGGCCAGGAAGAAGTGGGGGACCGATCTGTGGAGGGACGGGCCCCAGGGTCTCTTTCCGTATCTGTCCGGGAAGGTTCCAGCTTCACCCTGTCCATGGAGTCGGGCCAGGGCGCCCTCCCATCTCCCCTCCCTCAGCCCTGCCTGGCAGGCCCTCCTCTTGGGGCCACAGCAGCACCTGAGGCTGAGGGCCCCATGCCACCAAACACCCGCCCCGCAGCCAGCAGGGCTGGGCCCCGGGCCTCGCCTGCCGTCCCCGCTGTACCTTGTCATTGATGAGGATCTCCATGGGGTTGTTGCCCCACTCGATGAGAACCAGCTCGTTGGCCTGGCTGGGCACTGCGTAGGAGAAGGGCGTGCCCACACCGGGCGCCGCGCTGGACTTCAGCCACATGCACACAGTGAAGGCGTACATCTCGGGCAGGCTCTTCTTCACCTTCGCGTACATGTAGTTGGTCCGCAGAGGGAACGTGAGCTGGAACTTGTCCCCGGGGCGGTTGTCCTTCTGACCTGGGGAGGAGGCACACAGACCTGACACCTGTGCCCCACGAGGCGCTGGTCCCCCCGTCTGGAGGCCTCCGAGCGCCGTGATGCAGACGGAGCCGCCTCCACCTCCATCCGACAGGTGCTCGGGGGGAGGCGCAGCGAGGGCTGGCACAGGGCTGGGACAGGAGCTCGGATCCAGGGCCCTGCGGCAGGCTCTGGCTCCCTCCTGGTGCTGCCCTAGGGAGGCTGGGTGGGGGTGAGGGGAGCACACTGGACTGTGAGCACCTGTACTGGGCTGCTCGGTGGGCGTGGGCAGGGAGTGGGTCCGTGCACACCCCATACCCTGACCCTTGAAGGTCTGGCCCAGAGGAAGGCGGTCTCCACCCTCCCGGAAAGAAGCTGGCTCCCCCCAGAGCAGCCCCCTCGGGGGCCGGCCTGATTCCAGGCTGCGGGCTGCTGACGGTGCTCAGAAAGACGCTCCCTCTCTCCTGGGCCTCCACCGGGACAGCCAGGCCCCTGGTGCTGGCACACTTCCCTCCAGGCCAGGGCACACTGCTGCCCCTGGTCACTCCTCCCACCCAGCCAACAATCCCCGAGGACTCTGGCTACTTCCAGGATCCCATCCGCCCCGTGGGAGGGAGCGTCCACTCCCAGGCCACTCTAGCAGCTGTCCAGAGCCCTGCGGAGAGGCCGGAACAGCAGGGAGCTGGGTGCCCGTGGAGCCAGGGGCCCACCAAGGTGACTGCCTTGAGGACTGTGTCACCCACGCTCCTGAAAAATGGGGCTCCTGGCCACAGCCTTCCCTACACTCGGCCACCGCCTGCCTGCCTGTGGGGATGTTTCCAGGGAATACTGGCTGCCCCCTCCCCACCCACACACACGAGGTGGCCACGGCTGTGGCCCAGTGCACTGTGTGACTGACGCCAGGCAAAACATACCACCCGGCAATGGGCACTGGCACCAGGCCCGTGGCCCGAACACACTCGCCTACCAGCCTGAGTGTGCCCCAGGCCTGCCAGGGAGCCCAGTACTAAACTGGCCCCCAGGCCAAGGATTATTTCTGGAAGGCGGCCTGCTGGGCCAGCTCTGGCCAGCCCTCCAAGCCAGGTGTCAGGGCACAGGGCAGGGCTGGCTCCTCAGGGCTACCCACATGGTCTCGGGCTCAGTCCCCCGCCCTTGGAGCAGAGCCAGGCTTGGCCTATCCAGGGGGTGGTTTTCCTGTCCCTGCTCTCCCCTCCTCCCACCCCGCCCTCCCCTGGTCTGTTTTTCAGTTACATAAGTTGCCTTAAGATGGCACTGTTTAAATCCATCGGCACATTTTGCGGTCTGAGAAGGGTCACGTTGTTCTGCTCCGAGCCCGGGCACCCTCCCCCCCTTTACAACCTTGTTTGATTTCTGCGACTTCAAGGCTAAGCCGCCCAGCTCATCCATGTGCCCCGGGGTGCCCTGGGGGCCTCTGGAGTTGGGGACCCGGGAATTGCGGGGTGTGCAGGAGGCCAGGCATCGGTCACTTGGAAGAGAAAACCACGGGGAAGGGGGCTCAGGGCAGAGAGGGGTCCCTGGAGCTCCCCGGAGGATGCCAGGGGCTCGGAGGAGCTGGGAGGACACCGCTCAGGGCCCAAGTCTGTGAGGGACCAAGGGGGGACCAGGTCCAGCCCAAGCCAGCTCTTTGTTGGGCTTGGGGACCAGCTGGAGCCAGGGTTTCCTACAAGGAGGGCCCAGGCTGACCACAGCTACGGAGTAAAGTTACGGAAGATGAAACATCAGACTAGAAAAATCCTGCCAGTCTGTGAGCGTGTGTGGAGGGGACACCGAGCGACCCCTTCCCCTCTCTGCTTCCCTTCCACAGAGCCGGCCAGAGCCCAGGTGCCCCAGCCCCACCAGGATCACCCCCGGGGAAGCCCAGGCCCCGTGCAGGACTCGGGGAAGGCGCCCGAGGGTGGGGAGCTCTGGGCGCTCACTGTGGGCCCCGGGGGGCAGCAGGCCCCCTCCCCGACAGTTACCTTTCTCCAGCTCGCTGATGCGCTGGTGCAGGGAGGTCAGGGCGCTCTCGATCTTGACTCTCTCCTCCGTGTCGTTCTTAGGGCCCCCCTTGCCCTCCTCCAGCGAGTTCACCCTGGACAGCACTTGCCTCTCCAGGTCATCGATCTTGCTCTGCAGCAGATCCTTGAGGCTGTTGGTCTGGCTGGAGGAATTGAGCCGGCTGTACTGCTGCGGGGGTGCAAGGGGGGGCCACGGCGTTACGCGCAGAGCGGGGACCGTGCCGGGAGCCTCCCGGCGCCGTCCCCTCAGGGTG